GGGACCCGTGAGCAAAGTTCTGGGAGATTCCCTTCCCTCCCGGGACCGTACGAGACGGGATGTGCGCTGTCACCGCAGACCTCGGCCAGCACGCTGGGGACGAGGACGGTAGAGGAGGGAAGCTCCGAGCCACCGAACCACCCCAGGACTGCCTCCGTCTGGGCTTCTCGTCCCGCGAAACGGCGCCGCGCGGTGAGTGTGAACGCTGGAGCCCGGCGTTCCGCAGCTGCGGACGGAAGTGCTCTAACGGACGGTGGTAACACCGGGTTTAGCCGCACGCGGACAGATGGGTGGACCGGGTCCGTGAACTTCACGAAACATACCCGCGTTTTGAGGAGGACATACACGCCCCCTCTTCCCTTCGATGGTAAGAGGACCTATAGTTTTATTAGATTCTAAAACTAGGTATGACTTATAACTTGTTGCAGACAGAAGGAGCCATTTGAGGACAACGTCAAATCCAGCGCCTGGTGTTCCGGACCCTCCCGATCTGCTCCCCGCCTCCGTTCAGCCGTAACTCCGGACACCCTGGGGCTTACCTCCCACGCCAGGCACCCTCGGCCCAGCGAGCGCCCTAGGCTTTTGCGCCTCATGCTGACCGTCCCTCATGGAGAGCGTTCCCTCTCTCCCGCATGCGGCTTTCAAAGTCTCTAACTCCTCAGCCGCCTCTCCGTACTCTGGACTCTCCCAGTGACTATTACCTGCGTTCTCTGTTGACAGTACGCGGTCTCCATGAGCACCAAGCAGCTCACGTCAGTCCGCAAAGCCCCCTAACTATCTCGTAACCAGGGGAGACATCGGTCACCCCAAAAGTGAGCTGGCAGGGGAGGGCGGACAGATCCAACGGTGTCCAGAGGCACAACCCCAGATGCCGAGGGGCAGAGGGGCCCCGGCAGAGACCTGTCGAGCGAGCTGTGCCTCCTATGATAGGCCACCCGGCCATGGGCGTCGGTCACAGGTGGCCTATGACAAAGTTGGGGTTGAGGGGTGAGTTTAATGGAGGAAGGAGAACAGAGAGACAGCGCCTAGAAGAAATGGCCAAGCCATCGATTTCGGCAAGACTAAGAAATGAGAAGGTACCCGTTACCTGTTGCGCTCTGATGTTCTTGAATTACTGTTAAGCTACCCGGCAATTTTCATCGGGATTCTGCAAGACCTCCCCATGACGTAATCCACCACGGATTAGAAACTGGGCACCGATACAATCTGGAACACCAGGAGCCCTGGCCGGGTAGCTCAGTGGGTTAGAGCATCGTCTGGATACGCCAAGGCTGCAGGTTTGATCCCTGGTCACGGCACATGCAAGAATCAACCAATGAATGCAAAAAATAAGGGGAACAACAAGTCAATGTCCACCCCCCAATCCCAGATAAAATAAAGTATAGCAACAAATGTCACAAACATTATATTGCTCAGAAGAACCAGGTAGGAACGTATGCATACTATACAATTACAGTTATATTGTAAATGTAAAAAGTATAAAAGCATGCAAAACTATCCTGCTCTGTTAGAAGATAAGTTTCTCTTGCCTACCTTCTGTTTTCTGGTAAGGCCACCGGCTGTAGGAGCCTGTTCAGTGTGAAAATTCATCACGCAATAACTTATATATGTATTTATTATACATACAACTGTATTATACATTATAGTAATAGATGTTTCAAAAATTGTGTTTTTTTTGAATTGTGGAATCGAGTGGGTTCCAGAATTTTAAAAAGACGAGCTTAAAACAATGAGAGACCATCACACACCTATTACGATGGCCAAAAATCCAGACCCTGACAAGGCCAAGTGCAGGCGAGGACGTGGAGCGGCAGGAGTACCCACTCGCGGCGGGCGGGGACGCGACACGGTGCAGCCGCGGTGGACGGCGGCTCTGTGGGTCCTTCCAGAACTGAACACACGCTCCCCGCAGGACCCGGCCCTCGTGCTCCTGGGTGCCCACCCGAAGGAGGTGGAGACTTCCGTCCCCGCAGAAAGCTGCGCACAGATGGTTATTGCCGTTTTAGTCACACCCGCCGTGACTGAGGTAGCCAAGGTGTCCTTCCGTAGGGGACGGACGAATACACTCTGGCGTATCCAGACAAGGGAATAGTATTCAGGTAAAAAGAGATGAGCTATCGGGCCTCCAAAAGTCACGGAGGAACCTTAAACGCACACCACTAGGAAGAAGCCGGTCTGGAAAGGTCACGTAGCGCCTGATTCCAACCCCAGGCACGACGCCGTTCTAGAAAAGGCACAACCCTGAAGACAGCACCAAGGCCAGTGGTTGCCGGGGGTTGTCGGAGAGAAGGGTGGAGCAGCAGAGAACAGAGAGTGTTCAGGGCAGTGAAACTAGCCTGTCGTGGCCGGTACGTGTCGTTACACACCCGCCCAAACACCCGGAAGGGTGAGTGACCCTCAGGCCAACTGTGGACTCGGGGTGGACCCTGCCTTCGCATCGGGGTGGGTTCGTCCACGTAACAAACGCCCCGCCGCAGGGCGGGACGCGGGCGTCCGGGAGGCCCGGCGCGCCTGGGCGCAGAGTTGGCACGGCCCGTTCAGTATCTACCTTCCGTCCTGCCTCCCACTCCCTTTCGCCGTGAACCAAAAATCGCTCTAAAAAATAAAGTCCATTTTAAAACAGTCCGTGAAAGTGTCATTACCGATCATGCCCTACGAACTAGCAGCGACAATTCTTAAGTGGGGGGGGTTCCCTCAAATGCACATATAATGTGGCCCCCCCCGCCATAAACCCACTTCTTATTTGGACTCGCGTGTCAGCGCAGAGCACTTGACTGAGTTTCTGACTCTCAGGCGCCTGCTCTCCCCGTAGGAGAATCTGATTTATGAGCTGTAGCTGCCAATTTGCTAGATTTCTCTTCTCAATAAAGCCTATTGAGTCCAATTGAATTTATTTATTTTTTTAAAAAAAAGATAAGCTGAGAGCCAGCAATGCCGTTACAGACATTAGACCTCCATCAAACAGTGATGAAACTTCAGTTCCATAAAAGTAATCTCTGTGTTACGCTCCTACCCAAAAGACCGGCAGGTCTATAGTCTATAACCTCCGCCTGGCCTTCACCCCAAATCTACCTTCAATATGACTTTCAAATATCCGAGGCTTTTCATGGATACACCACCTGAGGGGGTTCGAGCATTTTTCCATCATGGACTGTTATCCATCTTCTCTAATGTGAAAAATCCATGAAAATCAAATGTCAGGGCTGTTTGAATGCAAATACGGCCTTGCTGGGTCCCTGACGCCCCACCCGCCGCGGCGGCGGCCCTGAAGGAGGCCCGGGAGGCCCCTTCCGGCAGAACGCACGGGCGCGAGCTGCCCCCGGAGGCGGATGTTGCGTGCGACCTCGCGGAGACTCCCATTTAATCTCTGGAAATACAAAAGGTAACTTTGACTCTATTATGCCAAAGAGAAATTTAGAAAAGAGCACAGACTGGCAAGGGAGGAATGAACGACAAAGCGGAAAAGGACACACTCTCATTGGGCCAATCCGTTTGGCACACAGATTGCCTTAAACACTTTTAATTTGATCTTTAAGACATAAATTGTGCGTACGGGGGGGATAATTAGACAGAACGGCAGAACGAGGCAGTTGTTGCTCAAAATGAGGACCGCGAGGCCCTGCGAGGCCCCGACGTGTCAGCAACACAACCCGCCACGACGCGGCGCGCCGGCGCGGGACGCGGCCCCGCGTGTCATCGGAAACACTTCACCAGCAGGCAGAAGCTGGAGCGTTCGGAGCAGATTCGGGGGTCCGGGTGAAAGCGAACACTGTCATCTGAATTTCAATAAACCAGAACCCAAGACTGGAAACAGGCGGCGCTTGAGAAAGGACCGCTCTTTCAAAAGCACAGCAACGCGATGTCTAAGTCGTTCTCACAAAAACGGAAGCAAGGCCGGGCGGGGAGCCCGGCGCGGGGCAGCGGGGGGCAGGCACCCAAGACGGCACGGAGGCGCCCGGCTGTGGTGCCCCCGGGGACTCCCCATCTCCAGATCGGCCCACGTCAGCCCTCCTCCCGTGGAAGCCGCTCCTGCCCCGCGGTCCGCTCTCCAGGATTCCGCTACGGGAACGACTGGGCGGCTTTTGACCGAGCCCTGCCTCTGAGGCTCCTTCAGTTTTGCCGAGTGATGACGCTCCCGTGAAACTCTCCTTTGGAGGGGACGCGGCCCCGCCAGGGCGCCTGTGCGTCTTCCTTCCCCGCACTTCGCCCGCACGGAGCTCCGCATTGCGCGGTCCCGACCCGGGGGTCCTGACTATTTGATCCAATGGAGAGGCGCTATGGGCCCGGGCTCGGGCGCGGGGGTGATTCCCCTTCCTCCTCTGCCTCCCAGGGTTTTGAGGCCGAAACCAAAGCCACCGCTCTATCCAGGAAGGAGGGAGGGTTCGGAAGGCCTGCGATGGGAGGGACGCAGGGCTCCAGAGCAGAGCGGCCTGGGCCGAGAACTAGCAGCTGCGAAAGCCCGACAGAACCAAAGGGTTCGTGGGGCCAGGAGCAGCCACCTCGATTTTTAACAGAAGGAGAGAAGACATGGCCCTCTTCCCGGCCTTGGCTGGAACGGAGGGGGTCCGCCGGCCCCGCCCCCGCCCGCCCCGCCCTGGTGCTCTGGCTCATTGACGCCCGGACAACCGGCCGTCTGCATTCAGAGATGCTGGTTGACAATGCCCGTGTTCTCTGCTTCCTGCGGCAGGAGGCCGCCCCTGCGGCGCCCGCACTGGATGCCAGATACCTCCGGGCCGAGAGGCTGCCTTCGGGAGTCAGCAGCTGGCACGGGTCCCCGGGCCGTGGAGAAGACCGAGGGACCAGTCTGCGAGGCGCAGCGTTAGGCACGTGGGGGGCGGGGGCCCCGCCGGGGGCCCCAGCCCTGGTCCTCGGGCCAGACGTCCCCCGCCCCGAGAACCGGGGAAACGTCGATGAGGCCGCCCGCGGCGCTGTCCGCCGCGGGCGAGGGACGTCCCGCCCCTCCCCTCTGTGCCGAGCTTCTCCGAGAACAGGCGAGGTACCTGGCGTCAGCAGGATGACCGAGGTGACGATGAGGGAGCAGATGACCAGGATGACCAGCAGCGCGATGGCAATCCCTTTCCAGTTCCTCTGCGGAGGGTTACTCCCCACCAGCTCCTGAAAGAGACGGCACGAAGGAGAAACTGCGTGAGCGAAAGGAAGGGGTGGAACACGCCTACATCCTCGCTTCCCTGAGGTCAGGACCCAAGCCGTGGGGCCGGGGGGCGGGCACGTGCTCACCCTCCAAGCTGCGATGAGCTCTTTTCTCACCTCCCTGCCTTCCCCGGCGTGGCGGCCACACCTTCAGGAAGAATCTGACGCTTCCTCGTGCTCACAGCTTTTGGGGGAACTTACTGTGTCCCCGCCTCATACGCTAGGTCTACAGCACACAGTAACAATGGTAGGGTTTCCCCTTCAGTACAGCCCGCCTAGTATGCACTCCCAGGGAATCGAAGCCACGTGGGTTGCGTTTTCCAGCCCGAGTCCCCCCTCATCTGCCTTGAGTTACGTCGCTGCGAACTTGAGCCTCGTCTTCCTTCTACGGCTCCTCACACGAGGCTGGGGGGGGCCCCAGGACCGTGCTAACGGGGGGACGCACCCAACCCTGTGCTAGGGTTTCGCCCCCAGCAGGGAACCGTATTTGCCCTGGAGCAGGGATGGGGCGTGGGAGGGGACATCGGGGGACATCGCTAAAGGTTGACTAAATCTAGGGATTGAATCAGGTGTCCTGGCTGCCGAACCCGCGTTTTAGTTCCTGTCAAAGTACTGGGATTACAGCATTTACAGTTCCAACTGGGACTCTGGGAGAGACAAAGGAAGTGATATTCATAATTAATACTAAAGTTAGAAATATAATAGCGATATGTTAGGGATTATAATTATTAATTATACAAGGACAATGGGGACTCTCCAGGGTAGAGAGAGAGATGGTCACGCCGCAGATGGAATATTTCTACTTCTGCCTATCCATAGATCGCAAAATATTCTGGTACAGCCCACAACTCCGACAGCTACTAACTCCAAGTCAAGACGAAATAGAATGGAGACGATCTCAAAAAGCAGATCATATGATCCATACACACGCTGTTAGCGAAGACTGCCGGTTCTTAGGACATATCAAATGGCTACAAATCAAAATAAACTCAACGATGGAATAGCAAATAATTAATACCTGACGCTTAAGTATTTAATATCGATGAGCTAGGTTATCACATTAAGAAAAACTGGCCTCCAAACAGTCAACACTGGCTTATCTAGGTTATAGAATTAAGAAAAATTCAACTCTAAACAACCAACACTTGCTGTCTAGGTTACCAGACACAGATTCCGAGAGCTGCTATGGTCTTAGCAGGAAACAGCTCTGTAGCTGTTTGGAAATTTCTAGCTGTATTCTTATTTGGTGTCCGGAATTTACCTATTCCAAAGTGACTTTTTAGCACTTAAATTTAAGACTCGCCCTGGCTGGTGCGGCTCAATGGGTCGGGCCTCATCCCCCAAACCGAAAGGAGGCTGGTTTGATTCCCGTCAGGGCACAAGCCTGGGTTGCGGGCATGGTCCCCCGCTGGGGCGTGTGTGGGAGACAACCGATCGATGTTTCTCTCGCACGTGGATATTTCTCTCGCTCTCTTTCTCCTTCCCTTCCCCTCTCTCTAAAAATAAAAAGCAAGACTAAACATAGGCATGGTATCTGGACAAAATGTTATACTGAGACAATCTCATTTCCTATTGGATGGGGTTTCTATATGAGAACGCCAATACCCGGAAGTGATAGGATCTTGCTGATTGGGCAGCTTTTCACGTTACCCACGATTACAGAGAAAGTAAGCCCTTTCCAACAAATTCGTGAAGAGCATAAATCTTGAAGCAGGTCTATCCCTACAGCCAACGTAGTGCAGACAACCTTTTGCAGGCATTTCTCGAACACTGATCAAGTTGAACACCAGGGCCACCACCCAACACCGAAGCTGTCCGTATCAATACCACCAAAACCTACGTGTCGGCCCTCGATACCATCCAAAACCGAAGGTATCAATACTCAACACCACATCTTATTCCAGGTCTGGAAGGACACCGTTCATGTTATTGTTTCATCAGCTCACACAAGTGATATATTTTGAATTCTGTTTCTAATAAGAGAAATCCGGAATCCTAAATTCCGTTTTAAACACGTCTATTAGATGTTTGCGTGCAAAAATGGCCGAGGACTCCTGTTTTCTGCCGGTTTCTTAACCAGCTGGGAGTGCCGTGCCGAGCCCCTTGAGATTTTCGTACCCCTGGTATTTTTGGCAGCTAAAAGTAATTTAATTCTTAATGAGGATCTAGGCATAGACTTTAAATGTTTCACGCAGCTCATAGTCAAAGATTAAGAAAGTGTGGTAGCTGTGCTCTGCAGGTCTGTTTGGCAGGTTCCAGGAGAAGAGTCTAAACGCGCACTTTGCTTGAGAGGAGATAAAAATCTAGCTGGTTCAGCACAACGCCATGGCGGCATTCACAACAGCCACAAGATGTCCGCTTTCTGCTTTTTGCTTTGAAGATAATGCCACGGACACACAACGATGAGATATTTTGCTGAACTTTGGTTCTTCCTCCCGCCCCTGGTTCTCCCAGTAGAGTTTTGAGAGAAAAACATTATATAATTACAAGCAGGAGGGGGCAACGGCAGGGCCACAGGGCGCCTGGCAGGGAAAAAATGTTACCTGTGACCAAAGCACCAGCCCCTCCCTCAGTTTCCCCACACACCCCTCCGCCCTTACTCCTCAGCTGCGCAAAAACGCCCTCCTCCTGCTCTGGGGGGACACGGGCTTGAGAGATCTCGCTGCCCGGCCGTCTCCCCTCGGCCGGTTGAACACAGCTTTCTCCATCTCCAATGCCGAACGGCGTGTCGGTGTTTGGGCTCCGCCGGCGACATTGCCAGCGTGCCCCTCCCCGACCCCGCACGCCCAGGACCCCGATGGCCACGACAAGGCGGGGTATCGCCAGAGATGACGAGGGAGGGGTGAGCCCGCAAATCCAGGGCAGGGCAGGAGGTGTGCGGGCGTCCATATGGAAAATAATACAACAAGTGATAAGTAATGATGCCAGGATACACGCTGTGTTTCACAGGCCTGGGTTGCGGGCGGGGTCCCCTCGGCAGGCACGGCCGCAAAGCTGCTTTTGCCCCACCCCCGATAACCAGAGGGCAGAGGCGTTTGTGAGACACGCCACGGGGGGCATGGTTAAAGGGGATGTTCAGACTCAAAAACCAAACACTTAGTTTTCGTCCGCTGGGAAGATCCTGTGGGAGACAGAGGACTTACGCATCGGCTCCTGAGGGAGAGCGAGGACCGCAGACAGAGGGTGTATCGGTAACACGTCCTTCTTTCTAACCGTTAGTACCGTGTGGCCCGGACGAGAACAAGGGGGACGGAGGGACAGCTGACGGGGACCCCGGAGGGTCAGCCCCCCAGAGAGGAAGGTGGGAAGAGACCCTCTCAAAAACGCCCAACACAGCGACCTTCTGTGGACACGTGCGGAACGAGGAAGAAATCCGTGAAACAGACGCTGCTGCCATGGGCGGGAACCGAAGGGGCCAAGGAAGACGCCGCACCAGGAGCTGCTCGGTATTTATGATCCCACGGGCGGACGCCCAACGCGGGAACCAACGCAGATGCGGGAGCAGAGCCTGTGCAAGGGACGCCATTCCGAGCCGTTCCTGCCGTTTGTACACACGGCCTTTCGGGCACATTCTCACATTGCAAAGCAGGGCCCCGCGCTCCCAGGCAAGCAGACCTTCTTTATTAGCCTGCATTCTCGTTTGCCACGCTCCATTTCTCAGAGGGCAGGCAATTCCCCCCCCCCCCACACACAAGCAATATGGTAACAACAATAATAGGAAATCAATTTACAAAGAAAAAAAGCTGCTATCTTGCTAAACCAAGAACACACAGCTTTTCATTTTTTCTAACTTCCTTGCTAGGCCTGGCCTTGCCGCCCGTTTAATTTTCCGTGGGTGGGACCAGAGCACCGGCGCGGCTTCGGAGCCTGGGGGCGGCTTCGCAGGCGTGTCTTTGAACATCTACCTCGGTTCTGCACAGGCAGGCTTCCTCCTCTCAACCTGCAGGAGTTCAATTATTAAAAATTTGAGCCAAAAAATGACCCTGCTTCCCATCAAGGGCAAAGGAAGTTAATAAATTATGCCCTGAAACGCTGAGCTTCAGTAATGCATTTCTCAGTAGAATTATAGATTTTTGCCTCGAATGGTAAAAATGAGCCTGTGATATATTCCCTGTTCTGTTTGGTACCGCACACATGCCTCAGAGAGCCAATAAAATGGAAAAGTCTGGTCGCAGGTAACCCTTTCCTCCAAGAAGGTGAACAAATCTGTCCATCCATCCATCCATCCATCCATCCCCTACGCATTCATTGATCCACCCACTCCATCTAGCCGCCCTCCCTCCCTTCCCACAGCTATCTAGGGCTTACTCTGCCAGACCCCGGTCTGAGATCCTTGGCTGCCACGGTGAAAAAAGAAGACCATGACACTGTTATCAACCGAACACGCTGAATGGCTTTTATTCTAGTGCAGGGAGGAGGGGACAAAGAACAAATAAATACACCCACGGAGAGAAGAAGGCAAACCCAAGACAAGGGGTCCCGTGAGCTGTTTGTACACAGGTGGGTCAGAGAGCCCTCCCAGCACAGTGACTTCGGAGCAGAAACTGAAATGCAATTGGGAGGAGGCGCCCCAGGACGGAGCTGCGCTCCCCCAGAGTCACGCGTCGAAGCTCTGACCCCAACACAGGGCCGTTGGAGGCTGTGCTTTGGGGAGGTGATTAGGGTTCAGTGCGGTTAGACGGCGGGGACCCCATGATGCAGTTGGTGTCCTCCGAGGACAAGACCCCAGCCAGCACGTGTTCTTCTCTCTCGCTGTTTCTCTGCCCCCATCTGCGTGCATCCAGGAAAGGCTGTGTGAGGAGGGCCGTCTTCGGCGCATGGGGAGGGCGCCCCTAGACACCGCAGCCTGCACTTGGGGCTTGCAATTCCAGACCCCAGAACGGCGAGACGTTCCGCTCCGTTGTTTAAGCAGTGCGTCCGTGTGCGGCGCGGTACCATCACAGCCTGAACACAGCCAGGTCGGG